ACTCATCTAATGTTTCATTGCCACTAGTCCATCCTTCAGTTAACAACTTTGGATCACATGATTGACACCATGAATAATAGGTATTATATCTATTGCAGATTGGACACTCCCCGTATTCTTTTTTTATCAGAATATTCATCGTTTTTATCAGTAGAAGTATTGTCATGATGTTTATTTTCATCCAAAATGGTTTCCATTGTGGCTTTTGTATATTTGTAAAAAAAATTTTTTTTTTTCAGCCACAAATATGTATCACAAAAATATATTAAATATATTTAGATTTATATAAAAAAAAATTAAATTTTACCTGAACAACAACAATTCAGCATTGACACCCTAAAGTCATAAAACTGTAATAAATATTGCAAGCATGCAATCAGAGTTATTGGAGTCACCAAATCTGGCAAACTAAATTAAAATCACTACATACAACTATACTGCTTCTATTTGAATAAGGGTTTATTCGGATTATTTGTTTTACTTGTTATGAATTTGAGTATTCAAATAAAATAAATAACGAATAATTTGATAATTCAATAATTCAAATAAAACAAATGAATGAATAATTCAAATAAACCAATAAACAAATAAAATAAATAATTCAATCGATAATTTAAATAAAACAAATAAACGAATAATAATAATTTGAATAATTCAAATAGTTTGAATAAAATGAATAAACAAATAGTTTGAATAATAAAATGAATAAACGAAATAAAATGAATAATTCAAGCAAAACAAATATTTGAATAAACAAATGATGTTAATTCAAATAATAATGATAAAAAAATGATCTCAATTTGAATAATAATAATAACAAATGATGATAATTCGAATAATAATGATAAACGAATGATGATAATTCAAATAATAATGATAAACGAATGATGTCAATTCGAATGATAATAATAAATGAATGATACAATTCAAATGATAAACGAATGATGTCAATTTGAATGATAATAATAAATGAATGATGCAATTCGAATGATAAATCAATGATGTCAATTCGAATAATAAATGAATGATAACAATTCGAATGATAAACAAATGATGATGTCAATTCGAATGATAAACAAATGATGTCAATTCGAATGATAAACAAACAATGTCGATTCAAATAATAAACGAATGATGATAACAATTCAAATAATAAATGAACGATGTCAATTCGAATGATAAACGAATGATCTCAATGCGAATGATAAACGAATGATTTGAATAATTCAAATAATAAATAATGATAACAATTCGAATAATAAACGAATGATACAATTCGAATAATAACAATAAACGAATGATACAATTCGAATAATAATCAAATGGTAACAAGTCTAATAAACGAATGATAAAATTCAAATAATAAACAAATGATAACAATTCAAACAAAACAAATGATTTGAATAATTTGAACAAAAATCTTATTACGAATAGAAACTCAACACTATTGCAGAGTCACTAAATCTGGCACAATAATGTTCAAACTAAACTAAAATATACAACTACACTACTTGAGGCGTCCCTGCAAGCAATATAGTAAAACTAATAAAAGGGGTCTCTAACTAATAATTAAATGTTGGCCAAACCATCAATCATCAGAAAGGGTTATGAATTGATCAATTATGCCAGATTTATCAATTAATGAAAGTGTTATTTTATTACCAAAGTGTTATTATTGAAAGATCAATTATTTTTTTACTAAAAGAGATTTCAAGCATATTTATACCTCTTGAAGTATTTACAAATGATTTTGTCCAATAAAATAAATAAAATAGAATGATAAATGATGACTAATTGACAATTACTGAAGTTAAATGTCAAAAATGTGTCATTTATATTGCATCAAATCCATTCAATTCATTAATGGCATAGAAGACTTTTATGAACCTTTTTTTGGAGTAAACGCAGCTTTAATAGGACAGGTTTTTGGATTATTTTTGCAGGAAAATCAATTAATTAGCTGAATAAATCCTGAACTAGAGATAAATATGCTATTGTTCCAGAATTAAAAGAGCACAGCAATCATGATTGTTATATTTGTAGTCCTACTATAAGACTAGAAACATCGTCATCAAATCCATCATCTTTAATTGCCGATCCTTTTATAATTGGCAGAAAATTTTCAAATATTATTAAAAAAATTTTGGGATAAGATAAATATAAATTTTAATATAAATTTAAAATCTTAAAAGAACCAATATTAAATTCATTCCTAATGTCAAAAACTCGTTGTATTCCTGTTACTCTTTTAAATAAAGGTGCTTTAGTAAACGATTTACATTATGGACCATTTTCTTGTTATTGATGGCAGCCTTCTGATAATGGAAAAGTATTCTCTATTCGTGGTTTTCTTTTTGGATCAGTAAGAAACAATCTTTAAAAAATAGGTAGGTGTCTTTGAAAATATACAATAGGTCAATAACACCAACTACTACATCTTAAAACAATGGCTATTATTGCTCAAGCACTAGAGTCTTTGGAAAAAAAATAGGTTAATGAACGAACATAAGGATCTTTTGTTTATTCATTTTAAAAAGAATTTATTAATACAGAATTCTAACATTGTATTAATGTTTGTTTTCTTCTATGGTTGAACGGCGGATGATTGTTACACGACCATCAAAAATATTCTAAGAGGTAATAAATAATATGAGGGCTTTTGAGAAGATGAAAAAAAGATCCGCATTTTAATAAAATTTCTGTAATTTATATTAAATTGAGAATTCTTCAAGGACCCCTGTAAAATATTTTGTGCTAGAAGTTATCCAAACCAAAAATGAGTTGAAAATATCCACGAAGAACTATTGGAACATATGGAATATGGAAATATTGAAGAACAAAAGATTTCAACCATTTCTAATTGGATAACTAGAACCTATGTGGGTTGGAAAAAAAAAATGGAAGAAACATTATCTAATTTGTAAATTTAATTTTTTGTATGTTTATTAATATATAATTATATAGAAATTATTATTATCATTACCTATTGATGTTAAATTTTTTTATTTGATGATCGCGTAACAAAAATACAATGTTATATATAGTATACCATAAGAATTATTACCATTAGTAATATATATCGCGTGACAATAATCTATCATTTACTATAGATCTAAACATTAATATTAATACAAGAATTAATATTACTCAACTAGAATATTTTTGATGGTCATATAACAAACATTCATCATTCAAATAAACATTAATACAATGTTATATATACAATATTTACCTATTACCATTAGTAATATTAACTAGGGTGTTGGTGTTGATTTTTTCTTTGATGGTAACAATAATAATAGTCATTTGACCATAGATCAGTTTTTTGAATATGCATGAAAAACTATTGGAACATGTGGAATATGGAGAGTTTGAAGAAGAAATTCCAAAGATTTTGACATTGCTAATTGGATAACTAGGACCTATGCAAGTTGGAAAAAAAATGGCTGAAGAAACATTAGGTGCTTCTAGTTTATATATTTAGTTTTTTGTCCAATAAAAATGTATAAAATAAATAAATTAATTTAATTTGAGCTCAAATCTGTCCCTCTCACTAAGTAAAGTCTTTCTCAAGACAAATTTTTAAAAAAAAATTTTGATATATAAATTAAGTTAGATAATATGCAAGTCATCACATGATTAAAATTTTAGGTTAATATATTTTTTGCGAATTTTTTTTGTGCTGCATTTTATGGTCATTTTAAAAAACATAGTAGATTGTCAAATTTTTGCCCAAAATTTTAATAGTATTTTTCTGCCATTTATAAAAGGATTGGCAATTAATATGTTATACATTAAATTAGATTCTCATATTGCTTAATCCTATAATTTTGGAGTTATGTGACCAATTAATAAAGCTCCCACCATGTTTTCTTGTTTTTCTTTTCCTTTAAATATTATTATTTTTTATTCAACAAAAATATCTGCATAGAATTTAGCCAATTAGAATTTCTTTTCATAACGTCGATCATTACAGGGGATAATCCCTGGTTGAATTTAGCCAAACAGAATTTCTTCTAGAATTTTTCATACCATCGATCATTACGGTATTTAGTATTTTCATATATGGTAACATCCCTGACTGTAATAATTCAATT